GAGGGCTGCTGGCAGCGAGTCCTCCGCGGGCGCTCCGGGCTCCCTCTGCGTCTGGCCACACGAAGAGCTGGAGGGGAGCGTTCTAACATCTGAGCAGCGGGCGTGAAGGAATGAGGATGCTTCTTCCTCTTCCCAGCTTTTGGGTTACGGCGGGGGATCGCCTGCTTGCTGGTGTTACTACCAGCTTCCCTCGGTACTGCAGCCTGCCTTTTGGACAAAGCAAACTGCAGGCTGCCTGGGGCTTGCAGTCCCCTTGGAGTGACGATGCTGGTCGTGGCAGCTACTTCACCAGCGTGGAGGGGGACATACCTCTTTCCTAATCGGGCGCTGCCGTTATCTTTCCCGAGTACATTAGTAGCTATGGTGCCGTTTGCATAAATCATGCTGAAGTGTAGATTAGACAGACTGCTGCAGCCCTGACAAAGAAGGAATAGGAAAATCTGTTTACCTTGGTGCAACTGAAAAATTTCTTTCAAAATATAATCAACACCTCTATAGATCATTTGTGTGGTGGTGTGTGCATAATACATCTCAGTCAAGAAAGAATGCATGAAGGGCCTCTTAAATTTCAACTCTAAAATTAGCAGCTAAGGTTGAATGTCATCAGCATTGCTCATTCAATAAAAACCGTGTTATTCACGCTTGCTTATGTGTTAATGTGTTCTTTATTATTCCCTGTTTAGAGAGTATTGTGGGTAAAGTAATGCAATTTGGAGAAAAGTTGCAAATAGCTATAGAAGCAAGGATACCACTGAGGTCACAGCATGATTTTTTCTCCTCCTGTGTGATCAAGTGCTCTTTGCAGCTTGATCTTGGTGTAGGAAGAGGACGTCATAAATTACATACTACAATAATGGAAGATTTTTATTTCTGCTAAAAGATTGGCAGATACTCTGAGCAGCTTCTTTTGCTATGAGACATGGGGAAGAGGAAGAAAAACAGGAGGTTTCTAGGTGATGGAGACCAGGACAGTAGATTAAGGTGCAATTACAGCAACAATTACAATTAATTCTTCTCTGTGCTATCTGCAGGTGCTTCTTGGTTCTGTGAGAAGATGGGAAAATGGAGGGTTGTTTTCTTTTTTCTTTTTTTTTTCCAATGTGTTAAGGCCAAGGGCAGAAATAAGCACATTAAATGTTTTCACAGATGGTTCAGTTCCAGGTAATCATTGTTAATGATCTACCAGTGCACAACATGAGGAGTTGCTTCCAATTCATATCCTCATGTGAGCAAGGCTAAAGAGCATTTGATGCTTTGTCCTGATGTTCTGTAAGAAATGAGTTGAAGTCAGTGAGAGTCCCAAAGGGAGTTCGGGGAGCAGGACTCGATGCGGTAGCTTTAATGCTTCAACCAGCAAACCTTGTTTATGTGGTACTGAACTGGAGATAGCGATGGCTGATAGTGCTAGCTCTCTGATAGGAGCTGCGACTGCATTTTCATGGTCAAGTTTAATGAGGGGTCTCAGCAGTCTGTGCATTCCTTCATTAAAAGCATCTTTCCTTCCAGGTTGTGCAATTCAAATTCATAAGTGACAATTTTGCTAGTTTATAATTTTTCCACTTTATCTCTTTTCATTTTAGTGAATATTGGCAAAAGCAAATTTGCAGAAGAAACTGATTACTCTCAAATTCTGGTGTGGCTGACTTAAGGCGGATGCCTAATAAAGAGTAAAAATAAAAAATGTGGACAGGAGAGTTCTTAGCTGTTAATCTGCCCTTACATAGTTTCAGAGTTTGCAGCTCTGTCCTGAGAGGAAGATTTAACATGGTAATTACTTGCCAAATTATCTTGAATTATGCTTTTTAATGTAATTACTGGCATATTTTTACAGGGCATAGGGAGTATTCTGCTTTTTTCCTCAAGAACCCATTTGTGAATGCAGCTGACTTTTCTTCTTGATTGTTATTGAGCTCTATATACTATTTATAGACTAAGGGACTGAGTTAGAGGCCCTAAATCTTAATTTGAAAGAAAGCACATGCCTATTTGTAATGAGTGGGGAGGTTCCGAATGGTCTTACCTACGTAGAGGTGGCAACTCTCTTTACTGCTGTGGTGTGAACTGGTTGTACAGGAGGCATTAATTTTACAAGTTGCTTTGAAAAGGGATAACAGAGAGAACTAAACATTTGCTTAGTTTTAGAGTAACATTAATCTTCCTGAGCCTTTGCAACCTGAATGTGACACAGCTTTGGTATGTTGTGACAAGGCTTTGTCAACAAGAAGTGCACGTTTGCGTCCTACCAGAGAGTCAGCTGTTACACTCCTGGTAAGTACAACTTCGTTATTGACAGTGCAAAGCCAGCTCTTGGTTAAAATGCCAACCACAAACGAAGCAGAAGTCTGCTTCCTCTGCCTGCCCCAACTTCTTTAGATCAACAGTTATTTAAATACCAAGAAATTGTGAATTGAAGATGATAATTTCTATTAATAGTAGTTAAGGAGTCATGACATCCGTCTATGCTTGCTTAGCTTGCATCACTACATACATATTTGATTATCAATAATTTCCAAATTATTTAAGCCAACCTGTTTGAGGGCCCAAGAGAAATTGAGGGGGGTGATGTCTTTATTACACGGCTTTAGCTGACAACAGACCTTTCTGTCTTTCCCGGCTGCAAACTTAGGGCCTGCAGATCAGTAACCAAGAGATCATGGTTTGGTCCCTACCGTGCAATATTATATATTAGATGTTATATGTTTTGTCAATTAATATTTTGATGTTTTGTAACGTATAAAACACTTCTACTAAGGTAGGTCAAGCCAGGTATCTTTTTGATGCACATCTTTAATTTTGGGATTCAGGTAGCTGAATTCAGCACCCAGGAACAGTTGAATCTGCATGTGAGCAACTGATGTAGGTTTTCACTTAGTAATCAAATTCTTTGGTTCCTCTTTTGCTTTTTCTTTGTCTCTCGCAGGAAGAACAGTGTCTGCTTAGCTACTGATTTTAATAGTCCTTACTTAAGCTAATAAAAGAATGTCATCATACTGTAATTTATATTAATACTCATGGTGCATTTTGCACATGAAAACCATGCAGCCACTGGCCTGTGGGGTACTTGGTGTCTCCTTTGCAGCTTTGCAGGCTTCAGAATTTGTTGCTCTGTCTTTTCTGGCATGCCAGATGAGGCCCGTCGTCCTGGTCCTGAAATGGGAGGGTAAAATCTTGGTTCTCTTATTCAGAACTTCTTAAATAACGTTCTAGGATTGGCACGATCTTAAGACATAGCATCATAAAAATAACAATTCCTGGAGATGGGTTGTTAACCTGAGGAGAGTTTGCAGTTGGATTCTTCTTGCTGTCTTCTGCAGCATTCTGGAACGTTTTTGCTATGTTTTTCCAATTTATTAGTCCTCTGTTGTTAAACCTCATTCGGAAACATATACCCCTTCGCCTGTGCTGCTTTTTTTTTTCTTTCTCCTCTCTTTGGTCTTTCTTCTAACTGCACAGACTAATTGCTTACTTATCTCTGTGAAGCATTTTTGGTATTTAGCATGCTTTGTCAAAGACATAGTGCTGCTTCTTCAGCTAATGCGTTAACAAAGCCAGCAGTACAAGATAATATCCAGGCACAAGGTTTAAGAGCACTGGCACATTTAGTTATAAGACTTTTTCAAGTACAGATACAGCAAGGTGAAGATTTCTCTGTGTGATTGAAGATTAGCAAAGACACCTTCATTTAAGATGAGGGAAACATTTGCAATGGTTGCAAATGCAGTCAGATGCAATAGATGCTTCAGAATGTATTTTGAAGGGAAGAATGGTAAAGGAAGTTATGAAGATCACAGGAAATGAAAAAAAGGCTGTATTGGTTAAGGGGAAATGGGAAATCAGGTCACCTCACTTGATAGGGTAACTGGTTTTCTGGGCAGAAAAATAAAGTTCATCTAATGTATCTGGACATCAAAATATTTTTATATGAGAAATGATTAATAACAAGGAATAGGAGAGAACTTTGAGGTGAAAGGAGTTGGATAAAGAGGAAGGGAAATGCATGTTTCATTTGGGGGAGCACACTGGTGTGTATATCAATAAATTGACCTATCAGGTATATGGAGTTTACTCAAGGAGTTTCTTAAAGTCTTGTGGACTACTGTTGTTTTGTTAATAACTGTGATACAATATTAAATTTGCTGATGACACAGTTACTAATACAGAGGGGAATTATACTATCAGGCAGATTGAAAGGACTCGAGGACCAGAGTAATTGGATGAACTTACTCATACAAAGTGCAGCACCATTCAGCTAAGGCTAATAGTGAGAATTTATAGTATTAAGATGGGAGTTAATTGGTTTTAGATGACTGTGGGTGAGAATGACCTCATATATTAATTGATCACAAGATAACTGTGAGCTGCCAGTGTAGTATATTTGGTAAACTAATTCCTG